TATATATATATATATATATATATATATATATATATTAAAGTTTTTTGAACGTGATTATCGTATATCGATAAGAAGATCCTTAAAAATAATTCCAATGCCTTGAAAACGTTCCACAAACAATCATTCGTCCCAACAAAAAAAAGAAAGAAAGTGTAAGTTAGTGGAATTCTTGATATACAAAACACTATTTTTCTTATAAACACGAGCGAGCTTTCCATACAAAGTCGTGAAACCTCTTACATTTCTTCTTTTATAGGTGGTGGGCTCTCATCTCATGCCTAGGAATCTCCTCCACCTTCCAAAATTTAAAAAAAAAATAAAAATATTATCTATATTCATTATAGATTAGGCATACAGTGTGTGTGTATATATATATATATATATAGCCTATGATCGATCGAACTTCATAACAATATCGCATGCATACGTTACATACGTAATACATGCGCTCCAATGTCTATGTTTTGCTTGACATACGTGTAGTTTACAAGCTATGGTTACAGTTTATACCCGAGCCTTTATAAAGTACGATAAAATGACACACACACACATATATGTACATCATAGATGGCATATATTCTGAATCTTTAATTATTATTATACTGATTAATACCGCTTTTGCCGTGTCAGATATTAAAAGGAGCTCGCCACCTTTATATACAACTCCATACATATCCACATGATGATACACATATATAAATGAAGATATAGTTCCTCACACATTACTCCACATCGTAGCACTCCAAAGCCAACAACTGTTCTCCTTAGAGAGAGAGAGAGAATGGAAGAAGAGAAGAGATTGGAGCTAAGGCTGGGTCCTCCCGGTGATCAGTTCACTTGCAACAACAATGGAGGCAGACGAAGAACTTTTCAAAATTCATTTTCTTCTTCATCCGCCAACAAAGAGGCGTACCCTGTTCCCAACAAGAGGTTCTCTAGCTAAGCCCATGTGTGTGTGTGTGTATATATGTATGTCTTCGGTTCTTGCATGATCCATCACGACAGTTTAGTGATTTCTTGATCGTTTCCCAGTCGTGTTTAATGTTTTTTTATCCATACATACATATGGATGATGAAATTTGTGGAAATGGGGATGCAGAGTTGAGGTAGCTCCGGTGGTGGGGTGGCCGCCGGTGAGGACTTTCCGGCGAAACCTTGCAGGAATCGGCGCTTCACAGAGGGCGAAGGAGAAGGATCATAGTGAGAGAAAGGAAGAGAGAGAAATGTATGTGAAGATCAATATGGAGGGAGTCCCCATTGGAAGAAAAGTCAACCTCTCCACCCTCACCGATTACCAGCAGCTTTCTACCACCGTTGACCGCCTCTTCTCCGGCCTTCTTGCCAGTAAAATCCTTTTAAATTAATTTCAAAAGCTTCATTTTATGATATAAAAATTATATACTCATATCATAATATTTTTGAAAAAGTAGGGTTTGGTAAAACCCTAATTCATTCATTTTCTTTTTTTTTCCCGATGTTAATTTAGTTCAAATGAATTCAACGGTGGATGGAGATGAAGAAGAAGGGAAGACAAACGACCAAAGCAGAGGGAAAGATTCATGGGATCCAAAGAGACAATACACTTTGGTCTACGAAGACACCGATGGAGACAGAGTTTTGGTTGGAGATGTTCCTTGGGGGTAAGCCTATCTAATCTTGCACAAATTGGATATTTATATGAAAATATTTCACGATATTATTTTTTTTTCACGTAAGTTAATAAATTTTTTAAATATTTCTATTGTTTGAATTTACAAATTATTTTCTTGAAAAATTGTTTAATTATAAGAAGATATTTTTAAAAAGACAGATGAATATAAAATTTATTTTTCGTAGGATGTTTGTGTCGACTGTGAAGAGATTGCATGTATTAAAGACTTTCGAAGTCTCCTCGCTTTCCCGTAAGTTTTCTTTTTTTTTAGAAATTGTTTTATTTTTTTATGATTACAGTATATAATTTCTTTTCATTTTAAAATAGATATTGAGCATATGTAAATGTGTGAATTTTTGTATTTATTTTTTCAGCTGGTAGGCGTGGAGAGAGAGGTCCACCAACCTAGTTCATCATTTGTTCGGAGAAAACGAAAAATAATAATGTAATTTTCCTCGGAAATTAATGGGCCTGATTTGATTTCCGTCGTTATATCATAGTTTTAGTTTGTGTGGAAAATGAATTGTACTATTATAATATTCTTGTGGAATTTTTTTTTTTTTTTGCAGAATTCTAAGTGGATATATTTTTGTGCAAATATTTTGTAATTTTAGTTGTTAATCTGATGTGACATGTCTAAATTTGACGTGAATGATATTGTTTTAGTGTTGGTTATTTTTTTGAACAAATTTTCCATTCAAATATTATACGTAACTTGATATTTATACGAAATAATTAAGCATATATATTTGATGAATATTGAATTTTATAATCCATTTTAAATTTGATGGGAATAATTTGGATTTGTTTTTGAAATATTCACTGTAAACTGCAGCAATAGTCCAATCCATCATCATCATCATCATGTGTATATATCGTTTAGGCAATTTCAAAAACTTCGATGGTTAGGGTTTAATTGTTAAAGGTTAAAAAATTAAAATATATCGAATAAATAATAACGAACCCTAAAAATTTGTCCTTTTGTCAGCTTAATTTCAGGCTTGATGTGTAAATAGGGGTATTACAGGCACTTAGTAATATATTGGGGAGAAAATAGAAATACATAAATTTAAAGTGGCATAATCGAATAATAAAGAAGAAGATGAGAGGCTTCGTAAAAGTAGAACACGTGCTATACGCGGTGATCTGTTCTCCCGCACAAGTGACAAGTTGCACCCATCCCTTCGTCTTCGGGGGTTTTTTCTAAAATGCACTACTTGGAGCACATTAATTTCAGGTGTACACCTGAAAAAAAGGAGTCTGAAAATTTTTCAGCTTGTACACCACTTTTCGATTGAAAAGTCTCAAATAACCCTGTATGCAAAAAGTCGAAATTACCCTTACTTTAAAAATAAAAAACAAAACGTGTTGAATTAAAAAATGACAGAATAAATGTGGGTTTCTCTCTCATATTGTTCTTCTTCTTCCCATGTATCATCGTCGGTATTTCTCAGCGGAGGCAATCTTCCCGATTGGTTTCTCCGCCATTGTTCCCGACGAGAGGTGCGATCGACAGCTCCGGCATTCTTCCCGACAGCTCCGCCATTATTGAGGTATAATCTGAATAAAACCCAATCATTTTCTACAAAAAAATCAACACTGCCAAGATGTTCTAGGGCTTGATGTCGTGACCCAAGTTGATCTGTCGTTGAACCCAACCTGTTTACGACCTTTGTTACAGGAAAATGGATGGTCTTGAAGATTGTTATACATGTGTATGTATTCGTTATGGTGGTATTTGGGAAAGAAAGGAAGATGAGTTATTTGAATGGAAAGGAGATGATGAAAATGGTAAGACCATTTCCCATTGGACTATTCCTGATCATGTAGCGGAGATGAAAGTGAACCCTCCTATTGTAAGAGAACGAGGTGTTGGTCGACCGACCATGAATCGAATCAAGAGTGCCGGGGAAAAAAGAGGAAAGAAAATAAAATCGAGGGTGAATCCATATGATTCAGAGGAACCACTGTCACAGAAGATGAAGAAGAAAGACAAGAAAATCGTTTTGCAGTTAGAAGATGAAATGTAAAACCTGTCATGAATGTATATTTCATCTGTTAACTGTTATGACTTTTTGTAAACGACTTCATCGTAACTATGTTACGACTTTTTGTAAACGACTTCATCGTGACTATGTTACGACCTTTTGAAAACCTATGCATCGTGACTATGTCCAATTTTTAAAAAAAAAATAACAAAAAATCTTAACAAAAAAAGACAAAATCAAAAAAAGGAACAAAAGTCTGACAACTGGTGGCCATTCGACAAAAAGCCAAGTTTTGTCTTATTATCGCCCATAACCAACTTATTGCGACTCGATTATGACTTAATTACGACTTTGGATTTTCGGTCTAAATGTCAAAAATATCGTTAAATTTGCCGAGTTTTCTGCAAGGAGTGATGAATACCGACTAAGTAAGTAGGAAAATTGACTTATAAGTCACATTTCAAAAACTTTTATACAATAATATAGGTTTGGATCAAAGTGTTCCTATATGTTTAAGAAACATATAGGAACACTTTCAATCAAGTTGGTGATTTTTTTTTCAAATCTTTCTTTTGTTAATTCGTGCCTTTGAATCTATATCTAATACTTATTTTCAAGGGTTTCATCATCACTCGACGTAAAACTCGTCAAATTTCACGAATTTTTACACAATTACGACCAATAAAAGTCGTAATTATGTCGTAATATAGTCGTGTTAGAGTCGTAACGTAGTTGCAATAACGTTGCAAATAGTTGGTTTTGGGCGATAATACGACAAATGCCGTCTTTTTTTCGGCTTCACCTTCTTTCCCTGGACCCACCTGTCAGTAAAGTGACTTTGACTTGTTTTTTTTGTTGACTTTTTTAATTTAACTTCAAATTCCACCGACTTTTTATATGAATCATTATATGCATAAAAACTACTTTATTTTTGTAACTTTCAGCACACAACTACTTTATTTCGACTTATGAAACCCTGAACTAACACAATAATACAAACCATATTCCAAACCACAACAACACCACAACAAACAGCAAACCATATTCCAAGTTCACAAACCACAACAAAAAACAAACAATGTTCAAATTACAGCTCCTCCTCAGTCATATGGTTCTGTGCCTGAATTACAAATCATGTGGAATATGTGCCTGAATCGCGATTGTTCCGTGAAATATTTCAGCTCCTCCTCAGTCATATGGTTCTGTAGAAATTTCACTGCTTCTACGTGAAAACATTTTGACGATACCTTCACTGCTATCTTGTTCATATCGTCAAATTCATAATAGAATTCAGCTTTGGGTATATCAACAATCTGCAACAAAACATTTACGTTCATCAAATATATAACAGAATTCGTAATTGAATTCACTACGATTACTTATTTATCACTTCCTATCAGACACCTTGCAACTTTTAAGTTACAATCTGTCATCATTCTACATCGAATTTATTTGACATTACTACAATTACTTATCTGTCACTTCCTGATTACACCCTTGCAATTTTAAAGTTACAAACAGACATCAATCCAAATCAAACTTTGAACGAAACCTTAATTCACTACAATTACTTATTTGTTATTTTGTATCACACAATTTGCAAATTTTATGTTATAATCGTCCAAAATTTTAACGATTCTTTGTTTTCCGCTCTAATGTTTCGACTTTGTCTTCTTCAACCTAAGATCAACAAATTACAACCCAAACCTAATTCCTACACAAATTCAACTTCAAATCCAAACTCAAATTCAAAATTCTTACTTCTCTTTCACGGGAAGATTCCGAGCATGTTGATGTCTCCCCCTCCGCCACCGACTGCGACTGCGTCTGGGTTCTTCCGGCGGCCGACCTCGACCGTGTTGAAACAACGGTTCCACTCGACGAAGCTCCTTGCATTCTCGTCGTTTCAGAGGTAATCACACTTGGGTTTTCGATTTCGATTTCTCCCTCACCGATTTCACAACTCTCTCTCTCGACGTTTTCTTTCTCTCTCTCGGCGGTTTCTCGATTTTTTTAAGTTATGTGTAAATAACTGTAGTAAAAATGTCCTAATTTCCCTTTTTTTTCTGAATTTCTCTCTTTTTTTATTTTTTCACGGGATTTTAATTCCTACACGTGCGACTTCTGTCACACGGTTACTTATTCAAGGTTATTTGGTCTTTTCCATTTTCATTAAGGGTAAACAAGACTTTTGCTAAATCGTTATGTTTTTCAGGTGTACACCTGAAATACATGTGCTCCAAGTAGTGCATTTTAGAAAAAAACCCTCGTCTTCGCGTGTGTTCCTTCTCGAATTCTCTCCTCCTCTGATCAAAGTTTCGTTCTCAATCAAGGCACGTTTCCTTCCGATTGATTCGTTTCCGGAAAAATTCTCGATGTGTTTGTGGCTATAAGCGTTGCCGAGTTTGGGCTCGATACGAGCAGCTTCCCAGAATTGAATTGGATCTTCTTCCTTTGGTTGCTTGTTATCGCTGGTGATAGTTTTGGTACTTCCATAATTCTGATTTGTATATGCTTCGTATTTGTACTTGTGGGTTTGTTTGTGAAGATCTGACGGTGACCCTATGGGATTTTTTTTTGCTATTTCGCTTTCGGTGAAAGCACGGTTCGGTCTCCGATGCTCTTGTGGGTTTCGTGTTGAATGTTTCCCGTTTCTGGGTCCGTGTTCAGTTGAATTGCTTAGAAGTGACAATAGTAGTGTAACCTGAATCATGAGGAAAGGAATTGGGGTTTAATTCTATGGTCAATCTTTGACATGTTCCTGTTATTAACAGTTCATGGAGGTTTCTGTGTACGTGCTCTTTTAGCGTGATCAATGATTCGTATTTGATACTTTTGGCAATTAGGTTTCAGAGCTATTGAGAACTGAGGATTGAGCAGGCAGAAAGCAGAAGGTGCAAGCAAGAAACACGAAACTTGTTCATTAGCCCGGCTCGATTTGTTGAGTTGTGATCATGGCGCTAAACCCTCAGCTGCTACCCAACGGGATGCCCATTCCATTTGTTAACGAAATGTTCGTTCTGGCTAGAGATGGCGTCGAGTTTGAAGTCGATAAGATTCCTGGGTTTGTTCCCTTCTTCCTTTTCCTCGCATATTCTGGACCCGCCTCAATGCCTTCTTGATTGGGTTCTGATTTCAATCCACTCTATTCGGGTTTCCATTTAGTCACATTGCTTCATCAGAACCAGATTCTTGAGTTAATTGCATGAACCTATCTACAACATCCGTGTCTATCTTATCATCCAATAAGTAGTGTCTAGGCTGTCTGTTCATCAGTTCACTTGAGATTAGTTTTATGAATGAATAGACAATAGGCACTCACTGCTGTAGGTTTTAAACACTTTCCCGGGCTTTCGCTCTGTTTTCTCCAGATCCCAGGGAGGTCATGTTAAGGCTAAAGGGACGGTATACTTGTCAAATATACGATTGGTCTTTGTCGCAAGCAAGCCTGTTGGGAACTTCTTTGCTTTTGATATGCCCCTGGTATGAAACGTTATCCTTTCCTTCTCTTGATCTGTTGTTCAGCATCACTATTGCACTAGTCTGGGACATGGTAAATGAAGTTTATGACGCGGAATGCTGCTTAGCTATTTCAGTTGATTCCTTGTTCTGATTTCCAGCATGATAAAATTGAACTTTAGTACTTTGTAAGGAATGAGCAATGTTGCTTCTCATGATTGAAATATGTTGTTCCTCCAACTTTGCAGCTATACATCCATGGCGAAAAATTTAATCAGCCGATATTCCACTGCAACAATATTTCTGGTCAAGTGGAGCCCGTAAGTATAATTTTGCCAAGCTGGTCTCTTTTCCTTTCCTCCACTACAATGGCTGCCACATTCTTTGTATAAGTTTGCTCACCGTTTTGTATGTAAGCGAATTTCCAGGTAGTCCCCGAAAACGAGCATAGAGCTCTGTATTCCACACATACTTTCAAGATCATCTTCAAGGTGGTTGCGGGACTTTTGTTCCTCTCTTCCTCAATCTCATTTCTTCCGTGAGGCAATACAACCAACAAATGCAACAAGCTGCAGTAGCACCTCCGTTCGATCCGCTCCAAGCTTCACAACCTCCGGTGGATGAAATGATGAGACATGCGTAAGTTTTCTCTCCCCGAGTATAAGAATTCTGCTTCTGCAACAAAAAAAAAATTACAAGGGAATATTCAACAATGTGTGATGGCTTCTAAGACACTGGAGAGGAAGAGTGTGAAGGCTTTTAGGTTCTAACTGAGACCCTATGATTTCAGATAAGCTACATAGTGATATAAGCATGAACCCTAATTCCACCACAAAAACTAGCTCAAGAGTTCATTTATATATTGGGATGGATCTATCGTACACTGCCGATGTGGGATACATCAAATACTGCGTTATACCCTCTTATTCGATTTTGGACAAGCTACTACTATCGGCACCGATATAAAACCCAGCTGAAACCGATGCTAGATCCATTTCAATCAACCTTGAGGCTTGAAATCGATCCCGGGTTTTGTATGTTTACTGAAAAGTGGTGTGATGTGCGCAGGTACGTCGACCCGAATGATCCGACGAGGATTTTCCTGGAGCAGCCGCCAGTGGAGAGCCAACTGAGGAGGCGAACGTACAATTCCAGCCCATCCGAACACCCTTCTTAAAAAAACTCGGTGACCATACAGAATTCGGTCTGGTACATAATATGGCTGCTGTTACTTTGGTAAATTTACTGCTGTAAATAACCCCGAGCTAATTAATAATATCTTCACTTGGCCTCGTTGTTTTTACCCCTATGGTGGTAGGGTTCTCGGTTTATGGCACGTAAAAAAACATGGATTGACTGAGTCCACAATGGAACCGATGAAAGGGGATCGATGTTAGAGTTCTCGATGATTGTTTGGAATTAAAACCGTTAATATAAAAAATATTCGATAATTATCATACAGAATTCGGTCTGGTACATAATATGGCTGCTGTTACTTTGGTAAATTTACTGCTGTAAATAACCCCGAGCTAATTAATAATATCTTCACTTGGCCTCGTTGTTTTTACCCCTATGGTGGTAGGGTTCTCGGTTTATGGCACGTAAAAAAACATGGATTGACTGAGTCCACAATGGAACCGATGAAAGGGGATCGATGTTAGAGTTCTCGATGATTGTTTGGAATTAAAACCGTTAATATAAAAAATATTCGATAATTATCCCTAATATTTTATTATAAATTTATTTTGTGTGTTTGGTTTTTTTTTTTTTTTTTTTTTTGAAGAGAATCTGCATTTGTGATGTTAGGGTTTGACAAAGTCTTCTGAACGTGAATAACGCCACTTCATTCGTGGAAAATGCCTTGTGCTATGGGCACAAAACGCTGTCAATTTTAATAATCAAAGAACAAATTTATGCGTGTATATATATATATATATATTTGGAAGTTTTTTAAAATTCGATACCAATATTTATTTTACAAACGGATATTTCATCTTCATTTTTTTTCTTTACCAGAACTTTCCTTACTTGAAAAATGAACGGTGTCAAAATTTATGATAATATATAAATTCTACATGTCGATTCATATTTAAGTCTTGTACGGTTCAAGCAACTAATATATGTATATATATTATTCATTATTGTTTTTTTCTTTTATATATATATAACCCTTTTCTACTTTTTGCTTACTAATTTTTAAAACCAATCGTTTCTTCATTCATTGTATACGTGCACGCTTTTATTGTGTGTGTGTATATATATATTCATTTTATAAAAATTTTAAATTATCAAATAATTCATTTTATATATATGTTTGATTTACTCTTAAACAATTAATAATTTTTTTAGGGGATTATATTAAATGTCAGAAATCCTGAAAGTATATAAACCTTTCAAGATTGGATAATATTGCTTAGCATTATATAAAAAAAATTAATATTTTGTCGCTCGACCATTCGGATATCAAGAAAACAAGGATTCGTGAAAAGTATAGTCAACGGTCAAAAACATACCACATGGAACTTCGAAGGAAAAAACTCAAAGAAAAACAACTGAAACGAAAGAAACGTCAAAACAAATTTTATAATGAAAATGATTGATACTGATTTTTGAGATATTCCACTCTGCCCCCTAATTATTGATGTTTTCAATATTCACCCATAAGTTTACTGTGTATAAAACCAAGTGATGATCTATATTTTAAGATTCACACATCTTTAGATGTAGAACACCACTGATTTTTGTCTTTAATTTTGGTGCATTATTATTATTTTTTTAAATAAGATCAATATGTATTATACATCCAAGATTGAATGACTCAACCGATAAAAAAGAGAACAAAGTTTTTTTCTGATCCAAATTCGAATCTTCAATTAGAAACAAACATTTACATCAATTTTTTCGATCTTTTAAAAGATGTAGTCGGGTCAAAAGTTCGGTGAACTTTTAAATTATAAAAGAATATATATTATGTATTCCAATTTCTACGGCATATCTGTTTTAGTGACAATTTCCGAATCAATATTTTGAGTAAATTTGATAGAAGGGGCTTTTCATGGAATCCTTATTTCTTGAAATGTGAACCCAAGAAACTTCCATTGTCCTTTCGTGGAGCAAAACTAACACAATCACACACCAAACTTTTGACTTTCTTTACATATGGATTTTTCAAAGCGGTTTTGAGAACTTGAACCAAAATCCGGTTTACTTATTTGGTTTAGCTAAACTAAACCGGCTCAGAACCGAACCAGGGTTTGTCTGACTTCAGTTTTGGTGTTGGTTTAAAGCGATATCAAAACTTGACTTATATAGGTAATTATGTAACCCATATCTTATCAACGTAAAAAATATATATTAATTTTAACCAATATAATCTAAAACATAAAAAAAAAACCAATGAACCGATCCCCAACCGAACCGGTTAACGGTCCCATCCTACGGAAATTACAAGATAATGGATACTAATTTCTACAGGTTCTTAATTATGCTTAAGAGAATAATATGTTTTTGTCCTTTGCGTATAATAAGAAAAGAGCAAAAATAAAAAAAAAGTCCTAAAAAAACTAATATTCTTTTAGCCTTTTTGAAATCCAACTTTGAATATATATATATGGTCAATTCAATTACAACTGTTTTTGTTCCTTCATACGCAATTAATGAGATTATTATGGACAAAAACAATTATATAGCTAAACAAATATTATAAACATACGCATACTTATATTAATGATTATGAAATACTTTACAATAATTAGAAAACCAAATCCCATTAACATTTAATTTATCTATTTAATACTTTACAATAATTAGCTAACACATTTGAATTATATATTAACTTCTTCGTAATAGATTTCTAAATATATTGATACCGAAGTCTCTGTTTGACGTACCTTTTTAGCAAAAGAAAAAGTTTTATTAAAACCACATATCTTTTTCCGATAATGATCAATCATAATCAAATTGAACAAAAATAAACTATAACAAAAAAATTATAAGCCATTTGAAATATCAAATCCCCACATTTACTGTCATCCCTTGAAAAAAGATTTCACATAACCAGAAAAAGGAATCAAAACCATTCTCCTCCTTTAGTTTGGCTCTCTTCCACTTGCAAAAATTCAAAAAAGAAAAAATATTTAAATTAATAAAGTATAAATTATAAGATTAACATCCCATAGATCACATTTTAATTCTCAGCAGTGGCAAATCCGTAATATTACCCAAAACAAAGGTCCGTCTCACATACCCATAAGCTTCATCGCTTTTACAAAGACATATATATTCTCGACACGGCCGTTAAGCCCGTCGCCAGAATTCCCGGCAAAATAAACACGTTTTAAATGACTATTTTACCCTTATCCCGCCTCGTGCCTCTCCTCCTATTCCTCGCCGCCTCTGTGCCCTTATCCGTAATTTCACAGTTCGACGAACGGTCATTGCTTCTGCGCCTGAAACGCGAGCTCGGAGACCCACCGTCTATCCGGTCATGGGATGACAGATCCTCGCCGTGTAATTGGCCGGAGATTCATTGCTCCGACGGGAATGTCACCGGAATCAGCTTCTATAATCTCAACTTTACGGTTCCGGTCCCTGTTTCGATCTGCGATTTCCCGAATCTGAGGTCACTCGATCTGTCGTACAACTACTTTCCCGGTGAGTTCCCGACGGTTCTGTACAACTGCACCAAGCTTCTGTACTTGGATCTCTCCCAGAACTTGTTTGAAGGACCGATTCCCGGCGACATCGACCGTCTCTCCGGCGAACTCGTGCACCTCGACCTCGCCGCTAATGGGTTTTCCGGAGATATTCCCAAGGCGATCGGACGGTTGTCCAAGCTCAAGGTTCTCAATCTGTACCAGAGCGAATACAACGGTACGTTTCCGACAGAGATTGGAGACTTGTCGGAGCTCGAGGAGTTGCGCTTGGCGGATAACGACAAGTTTCTACCGGCGAAGATTCCGACGGAGTTCAGTAGACTGACGAAGCTGAGGCTTCTTCAGCTGAGGGATATGAATCTGATCGGAGAAATCCCGGCGGTTATTTTTGAGAATCTGACGGCTCTAGAGCACGTTGATTTGTCGGTGAACAACTTGTCCGGACGGATACCGGATGTGATATTCGGGTTGAAGAATCTGACCTATTTGTATCTGTACGCTAATGATCTGATCGGAGATATACCCAGATCGATTTCAGCGATGAATCTAGTGGAATTCGATCTTTCTGCGAACAAATTGAACGGTACGATTCCAGAAGTTGTCGGAAATCTGACCAAACTAGAGATGTTGAACCTCTTCGAGAACGAGCTTACAGGGGGGATTCCTGTGGGTATCGGGAAATTCCCTGGATTGAAGCTTCTGAAACTCTTCACCAACAAGTTCACAGGAGAATTGCCGGCAGATTTGGGGTTTTATTCGAAACTGGAGAGTTTTGAAGTTTCAGAGAATCAGTTGACCGGAAATTTGCCGGAGAATTTGTGCAGGGGAGGTAATCTCCTCGGAGTCGTCGTATACTCCAACAATCTTACCGGAGAAATCTCCCTTTCGCTTGGGAATTGCAGCAGCCTCCGCACGATTCAGCTTCAGAACAATCGGTTCTCAGGGGAGATTCCTTCCGGAATCTGGACTAGTTCCGACATGGAATCGTTGATGGTGAGCAACAACTCGTTCACCGGAGGGTTGCCGGAGGAAGTTGCGTGGAATATGACGAGGATTGACATCGAAAACAACAGATTCTCGGGGGAGATTCCGAGGAAGATTGGTTCATGGTCAAATCTAGCCGTTTTAAAGGCAAGCAACAATCTGTTCTCCGGTGAGATTCCGAAGGAGTTGACATCACTTTCTAATCTCTTGAACCTCTTCCTCGACGGGAACCAACTTTCCGGCGAGTTTCCGGCAGAAATCATCTCATGGAAGTCGTTGACGGCTCTTGATTTATCCAACAACAAGCTCACCGGAATAATTCCAGCGGCTCTCGGGTCATTGTCATCCCTTGTCGTTCTTGACCTGTCAGAAAACCAATTCTCCGGCCAAATCCCGCCAGAGATCGGCAAACTGAGGCTCCCAAGCCTCAACCTGTCATCAAACAGACTTTCAGGGAAAATTCCAGAGCAGTTTGACAATCTGGCTTACGAAAACAGCTTCTTAAACAACACAAATCTTTGCGTGGAAGACCCGGTTCTCAGATTACCAGATTGCGACAATGTGCTTGGAAGCTCAAAAAGGCTGTCCCGAAAAACTCTCGCCATGATTCTAGCCATCGCCATTCTGGCCTTCGCCATTGCCCTTCTTGCGACGTTCTTTATCATTAGGGATTACAGCAGGAAACGCCGGAGGAGTGATCTTGAAACATGGAAGCTAACTTCCTTTCACAGATTAGATTTCTCAGAATCAGACATCTTATCAAACCTCACAGAGAGCAACGTGATCGGAAGCGGTGGATCGGGGAAAGTATACAAGATCTTCGTCTGTTCCCCAGGCCAATATGTTGCAGTGAAGAAGGTAAGGAACAGCGAGAAGCTAGATGAGAAGCTGGAGAAGGAGTTTGTAGCAGAAGTCGAGATTCTGGGAACGATCAGGCACGCAAATATAGTGAAGCTCCTGTGTTGTATATCCAGCGAGGATTCGAACCTGCTTGTGTACGAGTACATGGAGAATCGAAGTCTGGATCAATGGCTACATGGCAAGAAAAGATGTGAAGTCAATTTCTTGGATTGGCCAAGGAGATTGCAGGTTGCGGTTGGAGCAGCTCGTGGACTCTGCTACATGCATCACGACTGTTCTCCGGCGATTATACACAGAGATGTCAAGTCCAGCAATATATTGCTCGATTCTGAATTCAACGCTAAAATAGCCGATTTCGGGTTGGCCAAGATGCTGGTTAAGCATAAAGACAGAGAACACCATACTATGTCTGCCGTTGCAGGATCCTTTGGTTACATTGCTCCAGGTAACTAACTAACTCACTAGCTACTCAAGAGTTGAATCCATTTACAAACCCGAAAATCGTCTTTAGATCCGGGAAATGCCCAGGGAGTAAAATTCCTGAACTGGATCAAACCCGAAAACCGTCTTTAGATCCGGGAAATGCCCAGGGAGTAATATTCCTGATTTTGCCAGTTTTTTTGGCTGCATTGCCACCATAATTCATGACAATGCTCTGCGTGGGTATGTGGCAGAATATGCATATACATCGAAGGTGAATGAGAAGATCGATGTGTACAGCTTCGGAGTAGTGTTGCTAGAACTTGTGACAGGAAGAGAAGGAAACAATGGAGATGAACACACGAACTTGGCAGATTGGTCGTGGAGACATTACCAAACAGGGAATCCGATCCAAGAAGCGTTTGATCGAGATATCAGACAGGACTCGTCCTCCTATGCAGAGGAGATGAAAAGGGTGTTCAAGCTAGGGCTGATGTGTACAAGCGCATTACCAAATCACAGACCATCCATGAAGGAGGTCCTTCATGTTCTGGAGCAAGGGCATGGCTCGAAAGAGCCAGAGAACGAGGCTCAGGAGACACCTCTCCTCGTCAGCCTGTCTGGTCGGAGAGGAAGAAACAGATTTGAAACTGAAGATTGCTTTAACTCACCTGTCTAATTAATGTATTATGTATTATATATATATATATGTTTTGTCTGTGTATTAATGAATAATCTTATTATTATTATTGTTATTATTTAATAATTGGAAGAGTTTAACAAATATCACTTAAAAGTTTTCATAATTATTAAATACAGATCAATTACGTTTCGCTATAGCTCCGCACAAAATGTAGTCTCTCACATTTTATAATTTTCAACTGATAAGATTTCCATATCTATCTTTATATAACTTTCTTTTTTTTTCCTCTCATTTATTTCAATAACACTAACAATATTTTTCAACACGAATATGATAGATTATATCTATATATATATATATATATATTGTGTAACACAATAATTCTATTATAAAAGACAATAGTAAAGAAGACTAGAAGATGAAGTGGAGCCTTAGCCTTAGGTCTTGAAATGTGAACACAAGAAACTTCCACCACCTTTCCATAAGCAAAAGCACATGAAACTTGAAGAAAAAAAAGGAATTTGTTTTGAATAATTTATGAAACTTGACCCAAAAAAAAAACAAAGGAAAACCCGAAATGCCTGCACACATATGCAAATGCACATTAACAAATAATAACTAAAAAACAGTATAGAAATTGATTAAATTAGGAAGACAAATATAGTTCTATAGATTATGATCTTATTTCACTTGCTAAAAAGGCAAAAATGGTCCATGAAGTTTAGTGTAGAATATTTGTCAGAGGGCACCTATAAATTCAAAGACAGATCTATAAAATTTATTACCGGATAACCAAAAAAAAAAAATAGTAATATAGTGGACATGATCTCTTTTAGATTGGTAAGTTCGGTTACAAAATAAACATTTTAATCTATGAAAACAGAATAAAAATTGAATTGGAATGAATCTAATATAAAAATTTAATGATATAGTTTTTCTAAAAATCGAGAAAATTAGAAGAAAAAAAATGATAAATCCGAAACAGCCCTCGAGAGTCATGGATGACGTATTTAAGGGAATTGGTTCGATTGCAAGTGACGTCATGATGAGAAAATGAACGCATTCAAACACGGAAAAATTCTTGCCTTTGACCGTTGAAAAACAAGGGAACCCATTTCCACGAGTACCTTGTTTTGCACGGTTTCTCCTCCTCGTGTTTATCCATTCTAAAGTTGAAAAAACAAATAATAATAATAATAAATATAAATTCCAAAACAAGTAAATATATAAGAATCGGAATCAACATTGCCATTAGATGATTAATTGGTTGATTTTGCAATGCATCCGTATTGGACCTGCAACCCCCCACCCTAAGATTAGCCGCCAAATCTCAGTTTAATTAATCACCCCAGTGGCAAATCTGTAATATCGCAACAAACCAAGCCTCGTTTTCTAACGAGCTATAAGTTTGCATAACTCGGTGCATCCATTTTTCCCCTGCGCCCCCGACTCGGCCGTTAAGTCCGTTACTGAATGTCCCGGCAAAACTCACAAACAGAAAATGGCTGTTTTACCCTTCCGCCTTATCCTCCTCTCCGTCTTCTTCGTCTCCATGGCCTTTCCGGCGTTTTCCCAGCTTGACCAACGGTCGATGCTTCTGCGCTTGAAGCTCGAGCTGGGAGACCCACCTCCTCTCCGGTCATGGGATGACATATCCTCGCCGTGTAATTGGCCGGAGATTCATTGCTCCGCCGGAAATGTCACCGGAATCAGCTTCTTTAACCTCAACTTTACGGTTCCTGTCCCTGCTTCCATCTGCGATTTCCCCAACCTGAGGTCACTCGATCTGTCGTATAATTATTTTCCCGGCGGGTTCCCGACGGTTCTGTACAACTGCACTAAGCTTCAGTACTTGGATCTCTCACAGAACTTGTTTGAAGGACCGATTCCCGGCGACATAGACCGTCTCTCCGGCGAACTCGTGCACCTTGACCTCGCCGCTAATGGGTTTTCCGGCGATATTCCCAAGGCGATCGGACGATTGTCCAAGCTCAAGGTTCTGAACCTGTACCAGAGCGAATATATCGGCAGTATTCCGACAGAGATTGGAGACTTGTCGGAGCTGGAGGAGTTGCGCTTGGGGAAAAATGACAAGTTTTTGGCAGGGAATATTCCGGTGGAGATCGGAAAGCTGAAGAAACTGAGGGTTCTGCGGTTGGATGAGATGAATCTGGTGGGCGAAATGCTGGCGGTTGTTTTCGAGAACCTGACGGCTCTGCAGCATCTCGATTTTTCGGCGAACAACTTGTCCGGTCCGATACCGGACGTGATATTCCAGTTGAAGAATCTGACCCATTTGTACCTGTTCTCCAATTATTTGTTTGGGGAGATACCCAGATCGATTTCAGCAATGAATCTGGTGGAACTCGATCTTTCTGCGAACAAATTGAACGGTACGATTCCAGAAGTTGTCGGAAATCTGACAAAACTAGAGATGCTGAACCTCTTCGAGAACCAGATTACCGGAGAAATCCCTGTGGGTATCGGAAAATTCGCTGGATTGAAGCTTCTGAAACTCTACACCAACAAGCTGACCGGAGAATTGCCGTCGGATTTGGGGTTTTATTCCAAACTGGAGAGATTTGAAGTTTCAGAGAATCAGTTGACCGGAAATTTGCCGGAGAATTTGTGCAGGGGAGGTAATCTCCTCGGAGTCGTCGTATTCTCCAACAATCTCACCGGAGAAATCTCCTTTTCGCTCGGGAATTGCAGCAGCCTCCTCACGATTCAGCTTCAGAACAATCGGTTCTCAGGGGAGATTCCTTCCGGAATCTGGACTAGTTCCGACATCGAATCGTTGATGGTGAGCAACAACTCGTTCACCGGAGGGTTGCCGGAGGAAGTTGCGTGGAATATGACGAGGATCGAGATCGAAAACAACAGATTCTCGGGGGAGATTCCGAGGAAGATTGGTTCATGGTCAAATCTAGCCGTTTTAAAGGCAAGCAACAATCTGTTCTCCGGTGAGATTCCGAAGGAGTTGACATCACTTTCTAATCTCTTGAACCTCTTCCTCGACGGAAACCAACTTTCCGGAGAGTTACCGGTGGAAATCATCTCATGGAAGTCGTTGACGGCTCTTGATTTGTCCAACAACAAGCTCACCGGAAAAATCCCAGCGGCTCTCGGGTCATTGTCATCCCTTGTCGTTCTTGACCTGTCAGAAAACCAATTCTCTGGTCAAATCCCGCCGGAGGTCGGCAAACTGAAGCTGCCAAGCCTCAATTTGTCATCAAACAGACTCTCAGGGAAAGTTCCAGAGCAGTTTGACAATCTCGCTTACGAGAACAGTTTCTTAAACAACACGAATCTTTGCGTAGATGATCCGGTTCTCAGATTACCGGATTGTGGGAATGTGCTCGGAAGCTCAAAAGGGCTGTCCCGAAAAACTCTCGCCATGATTCTAGCCACCGCCATTCTGGCTTTCGCCATAGCCCTTCTTGCGACGTTCTTTGCCATTCGGTATTACAGAGGAAAACAGCCAAGGACCGACCCTGAAACATGGAAGCTAACTTCCTTTCACAGATTAGAATTCTCAGAATCCGACATCTTACCAAACCTCTTGGAGAGCAACGTAATCGGAAGCGGTGGATCGGGGAAAGTATACAAGATCTTCATCCGTTCCTCGGGCCAATATGTTGCAGTGAAGAAGGTATGGAACAGCAAGAAGCTAGACAAGACACTGGAGAAGGAGTTTATGGCAGAAGTCGAGATCCTGGCAAGGATCAGACACGCGAAAATAGTGAAGCTCCTGTGCTGTATCTCGAGCAAGGATTCGAATCTGCTCGTTTACGAGTACATGGAGAACCATAGTCTGGACCGATGGCTACATGGGAAGAAGACAGATGAGGAGTCCCCCTACTTGGATTGGCCAAGGAGATTGCAGATTGCAGTTGGAACAGCTCAAGGACTCTGCTACATGCATCACGACTGTTCTCCGGCGATTATACACAGAGATGTCAAGTCCAGCAACATATTGCTCGATTCTGAATTCGACGCTAAAATAGCCGATTTCGGATTGGCCAAGATGCTGGTTAAGGGAGGAGATAAAGAACATCTTACCATGTCTGCAGTTGTCGGATCCTTCGGCTACCTCGCTCCAGGTAAGCTATAGCTAACTAATTGCACACAAGGCTTTGAACCCTTTTGGGAAAAAACCCGAAACTCGGCTTTTCAGATCCGGGCATTGCTTAAGTAACAAGTCTAGTAAATTCTTGACAATTCTCTACGTGGGTATGTGGCAGAATATGCGTATACATCGAAGGTGAACGAGAAGATCGATGTGTACAGTTTCGGAGTGGTGTTGTTAGAACTTGTGACGGGGAGAGAAGGGACGAGAGGACATGATCATATGAACCTGGCAGACTGGTCGTGGAGGCATTACCGAGCAGGGGATCCGATCCAAGAAGCGTTTGATCCAGATATCAGACAAGACTCGCCCTCCCATGTAGAGGAGATGAAAAGGGTGTTCAAGCTAGGACTGATGTGTACAAGCACATTGCCACATCACAGGCCGTCCATGAAGGAGGTTCTGCATATTCTACTCAAGACATGTCCGAAAGTGGCATAGTGGTCCAATGGATTTTGAGTCTGAGTTGAAAATCCTGTTAATTATCCGAACTGCCATCCTAGATATTACACCTTCACTTATATATATATATATATATATATTTGTAATAGTGACATATTACACCTTCACTTAATTAATCAAAAAATTAGATAAATAACAACCACACTAGATCCACGTATTCTCATACCCATAATACATAATCCAATCACCCTTTACCTTAAAATCATCTGACATTCCTATCAATGCAGCAAGCAAATCATTTTTATATGAGAGAGAGACAGAGAGAGAGAGACAGAGAGAGAGAGCAAACAATATACTTACAATCTTTCCCCCAATGTGATTTGGTTATTTACACTGGGAAGTTCATATAAAACAAGAACCAAATGCAAAGACAGACTACCAAAACAACTTAGGCAGAAGATTCTGAACAAATTACACAACTTTCTAAATTAATTAAAAAAAAAAAAGGAAACCAAGGAGTAAAAACATCCCGGTCTTTCTTTTTTTTTTTCTTTTCCTTTTTCTCCCCCCCCCCCCAAAAAAAAAACAGACTACCAAAACAACTTAGGCAGAAGATTCTGAACAAATTACACAACTTTCTAAATTAATTAAAAAAAAAAAAGGAAACCAAGGAGTAAAAACATCCCGGTCTTTCATTTTTTTTTTCTTTTCCTTTTTCTCTCCCCCCCCCCAAAAAAAAAAAAAAAAAAAAAAAAAAAACCAGAGATCCCCCCTCCTCTTCTGTATCATAAAATTCCTACTATTTTCTTCTTCTATGCGGACAGAACAATAACCGGAGAACAAACAGAAACGAACCCTAAACCAACCAATATGGATGGATGGATGGAAAGAGCCGTTGAATAGTACAAGTGGGAAAGTACCTGAGAATGTGAGAGAGAGAGAGAGAGGATCAAGACTGCCAAAAGAGCTCGAAATCGTTACTATACAAGGAGCGGTCCTGTATCTCGAGGTTCGCTACGTGCCGATTTACGAGCTGCGACTGCAATGTCTTGCAAACCACCAGTCCTGCCGGAAATATCCACCATTCGCTCTCACCCCTGACACCAGATATTCTGTCAGGAAGCAACAATGTGTTTCTGATCCTGAATTTTAAATTATGGGCAAGGAGCTCGTGAAGTTGTTTTTTTTTTAATTGATATGAACATTCTCCATCACACCCAGCCGGAAAAAAAATCAAATATCTTTGATGAAATGCAAATTGCACATATGCACAAGTTACATACATGCCCTAGTTACCAAAACCCCCTTCCCATATGGTACGATGAGAAACCAAGGCATAATAACAAACTCACATGTTTATATTCCACGGCTGAAACGGGATCTTTTTGCTCGCCGATGACTCGCTGTTATAGTGAACGTATCCGCAGAGAAAAGCAACAAACTGTCACATAACCAAAAAATACCCATTGTCAGTCAGCATCCGGATCCGGGAGACAAAAAACCATCCCGATGAAAAAAATGGTCACATTCACGGAAGATTCCAACGCACAAATCTTTCTTAGGGGAGGAAGATGACTTACCACATTGACTAAGGACGTAAAGTTCCACAATGCATAGACACGGGCAAGACCAGCAGAGCGTCTGGGTCCATGACTAAATAAGGCATTGATCCCAGCAGGGAATGGCAGAAGTAAGCCGAGAGGTAATATAAATAACGCCAAAAAGACATCCAGCAATGATATTGAATACAGCTGGAGCAGTGTGAGCAAGACTAGACTAAAATCTCCTAGAAGTAACATTGAGATAACTAAGCCGACCAAGTCCTGCCATTTCACAAAAATATCAAAGACTGAATAAAATTTTTACAATCTGCACCATGTTAAACAGTAACATGTAAAGGAAGAGATTCATATCAAAAGGGCTTTTCCAAAAAAAAAAAAAAGGGAGAGGTACCTGATGGCCAACAGGTTTAGTGTTATGGACTAAGAAAGAGAGAAGGAAAAATATATCTCTCTTCTCTTTGAGACTCGGTAAGCTATGAAGTTCTATAATCCCTCCATAATTCCTTCTGCGCATTGTATAACCATCGGTGCCTCTGTGGGGCTGGTTTAGCATACTCTCTCTTAAATGTGCTGGAGAATTTTCTTTATACATACTCGTCAAACTGTAACTAAGAGTTTCAAGCACAAGGCTGGCGTTAGAGCTTCACAAAATTAAAGCACAAAGGATGAAAGCTGAAGTCATATGAAATATCAAATGACACGATCCAATCAGAATTTGAACACGCTATTCGTAGTAGCATTGTTTCAGAAAAATGGCATCTTCCCTGCCAATGAATGAACCCTGAGGACAATGGAACACAGAAAGGAACGAATGCAAATTCCAGTTCATTTACCGTGGATCTATATCAGCCCATCCTGTTCCGCCAACATGTTGAGGTGATGATGATTCATTCTCATCAGCAACATGGACCAGAAGTCCATATTGACAATAACCACAAGCTGTAGTCTGGAACCAGGCCAGATCAACGCAGATGCCATGTGTTCCCAAAGCAGGTTTAGCATGAGTCTCTAACCATCTCAAAACAGGGTGAAAAGTCGCTTTCAGACGCCCACGATGTACAATACGCAATTGAGCATTCAAACCAGCCACCAGTCTGTACCAAGTGGTGGGTGGAACCATCTAGAAAAACATAGGCAGGGGCAAAGATTGGATACAACCTTTTAACATAACCCATAATAGTTAACTAGCTTCGGGGTAACCGAGGGACAAACCTGACTCATGAGACTGGTAAGGATGTTGTCATTTTGTAGTGAGAAAGGAGCCATGTAACTTCCATCACCTCCGAAAATTATAGGCATTGGAAATCTTTGATGGAGACGAGGAGGAAGGTCGGTCCTCTTTTCATCTCCGCCAAGGAAGATGTCCAGATATGCAAGCATTAAATCAGAGCTGGCAGCAACCTACATTGGCATAAAACGATTATGGTCAATAACATAAATACAACAACATAGAAATAGAAATTATCGAAATCTAAAGTCATGCCAAGCAATCATTAGATTAAATATATCATTGAGATACTACCTTAAGGCCCTCGTACAAGGCACGCGAGCGACAGGAACGTAGACAGGAATGGTCATATTCGGAACGTACAAACTCACGCAATCTCTGCAACTTCAATCTCCGTCGCCATTGCTGCCACGACCATGCAAGCGGATAGGCAAGAACTGAAAGAATACTATAAATTGCACCCTCCCACCACTGATATGCAGCTATAGCATTTATCTCGTCGACAAATGTGTTAAATGCAGCCTCATATCTATTAAGGAAAGAACAATTTAAGGAGACATCAGCTTGAGTGGCCAATAAGACATTTCATAGAAAACAATGAAACATAATCCCGGATCCATGCTGAACAAGAACAAGAATCAACTTACACTATCTCTTTTATCTGTTCTGGAGGGGTATGGGACAAGTGCCAGGGCTCACTAAATGTATTAGGGCCCATGAAGTACATTCTATGCACATGACTCTGGGACTGCTCAGCTCTATTTGTTTCCAACACCTGGAAAAAGAAGGAAAAAGATCTAAGCCACAAAGCATTGATGTAAAAGAAAGAAACCCTCGGAGCTTCTTAACAAATTACTTGACTATACAGTTACGAATATATGTAAATTTTCCCTGTCCCTTTATTAACTTGGAAACTCTAGGGGAAAAAACAGATTCACAGTTCAAGATGTATGAAGTTGGTTGACCTCATTTAACGATTCGAGGAACGGGAAGGAATGATCTATTTGAGAGCCATGGTGTGTTGGAGCTGGACCAGGTAAATCATCAACTCCAACAAATTTCATCCGGGCAACACTAAGTACGAGTGCTAATAGGATGAGGAGCCCCATCAGAAGAAGGCCAAACAACCAAGGCCCGCCAAACGTATAAATTAGCTCCTCCAGCGCTGTGTAACAGTGTGGCATGTGATACCTGTCGGAAATGCATCGATATGGACATGGTGTCACAGCAACACCACCTGATAGTAACATCAAACAATACCAAGGATTATCAATAACGCATGGCTATTTCCACCAGTAGCTTACTGGCATGGAATGAGTTATATATGAGAAGAATGAAACAGTTTAGAAACATGTCATTATGTTAAAAAATAATTTTATAATAAGTCTTATTTGAAGTATAAAACCTCAAGACCCTAATGGAGACGCTTAAATAAGGGCCATTAGAAAATAGGAAAGTTTCGGCCTTGGAAATAGTTGGAAAAATATCATTTATCACTTTGACAGCTACTAACAGATTCAAATTACCTCGGACAGGAATATAAACAGCACGACTTGGGAGAGCATCAACAGGGCAGGGATGACAAAGAGACGCATCAGATCCCGTGACATTCTTGTATGTACCAGATGGGCATTCCCGA